CCCCAAAACCCCAAAACCCCAAAACCCCAAAACCCCAAAACAGGAATCTGAAATTGATCAATTTATTATAGGAATTAGCTAGATATGTAGGAGGGATGGCATAGGCCGGTTTTGTGAAAAATTTAGAGAAAGCCAGAAGGCCTTGGAGAAGTTATATCTTCACTGAAACAAGCAGCTAAGCTCTTTATTCCTTCTTTCAGTTTGATCTTTGATAGATTATCTTTGGAATACCAGTTTTTGGGATTTTTGTCTTGTGGATGCATATGTCAACTCCTAAATATTAAAAATTCTCTCATAAATGCACACCACTAACCCATCAGCACATAAAATCCATCAAGAATACACAATTTTCTCAAAAAATACTAACTTAATTTATCAGCTTTGTCTCGCTTATAATTTTTTGGGAATTTTAATATCTAAAATATTTCGGAATAATTCAAATCAAAAGGCTATTCACCTGGCACTGCCTCCACTAAGACTCAAGGTCTGACCAGCAGGCCTTGAGGGAACCGTCGGGCACCCTAGGAGCTCTTTAGAGGCTGGACGAGATTCTCTACGAGATTTTGGGTTTTTGGAGCCGACAGAAATCGTTTTGTTAAGGCCTTGTGAAAGCTCACGCTTCGAGCGAAATTCATCATTTGCAATTGAGAAGCACTTTGGTAAGTGCTTATATTTAGATCGCGTTGAAATTTTGATCCTTTTCTTATCACCTCGCTGGATTAGGTCTGGAAGCTCTAACACTTTCTTTCTAGGTATTCTTACTATAGGAAGTTGACTACTCAAAATTTACCCATTAGACGCAGAATTTACTGTATCATAGATACTATTGTGAGGAGATAGGGAAGCTACTTGCAAAGATCATCGATTATCGGGAGACAAGTAGTCTTCATAACTGAAATTTATCCTTTTCTCTTGATATTTCTCTCTCTTTTTTTCAAGTCCCTTTCTTTGATTAACGCTATAAAATCGTTTATGGTGTTTTTCTTCCTCATGCTTTGGTATTGATAATTTATTGTTTATAAGTTCACAGCCGCAATTTTCGGGGAATTAATAGAGCAATGCTGATATTTTTTCTTGAAGATTCCGGATTGGCTATCTTTCCAGCCAGAGAGTGACATCTTATCCTTTTTTATCTCCGTGGGAACATGTTTAATTTCATCGCATTTTTGCGATCCTTACTCTCTACACTAAAAACTTTGAGTTTCTGCTTTCTTCGAAAGACGGGTAAGTTCACCTTAGGATGAACTCTAGAGCGAATGCTATTAAATTCTTTAGGATATTCCTGGTCAACTCTCCTCACATTAGCTCTTTTCTCCTCTTCCAAGTTAAATGGTTCATATCGAGAGAATATCTTAACCGGCTGGGAGGCTTCCTTCTGGTACATTCCGGTGTAGAATGTGAAATCTGTAATTACTTTGGTTTTTTGTGTTGTAAATTCCATAGTAAATTATATTTCAATTATTGATATTGTTAATGGGGTTTTGGGGTTTTGGGGTTTTGGGGTTTTGGGG